GCTCTCATGCCAGCCACAACTGAAGTCAAAACTACTGTAGGTGAACACACACACATGCACATGTGCATTTGAATTATTTAGTGCTTTCTCCTGATTCAGTGTATCTTCTTTTTTCCAGAAATGGGACTTCTACTGTTACTGATAATACACTTCCCAAGAAACTTAACTTGATATGATGCACACTGCTGACAGCTTATTTTTATGCATCTAATAACATGAGCGCCAATAGAAGTATGCATAAACTCTGCACAGCAATGAGTGCATGTATTATTATGAAAACGTATTATTATAATTTCATGTCTCCATTGATAGTCTTGCTGTCTTTTGATGACTTAGACATCAGCAGCGGTTCTGCAGCCTTGCTTTGTTGACAGATGAACGATGTACATTGTCTGTAATGCTCCTGTTTATCTGAGGTTTTGCAGATAATAATAAAAGTTGTCCATTGTGCACTTATAAATGAAGGAAGCACGAGTTGTGCCCTCCTTTTCTCTGCTAAAGCTATTCCTTTATCGTGAGCATTGTGTGTCTTATCAACAGGCAATGTCAGATTGTAAAAACTGTTTTCAAAGCAGCAATGAAGTAAGAAATTTCAATTTATTAGATATCTATATATATTAGACTTTTGCATTGTTTAATAAATAAAGCGTGCTGCAAAGCATTTATCTGGTGCTTTTTGAGACCAGGCTAAACCTTCATTCCTGAAAGCTCCAGTTCCCCAATATTAATAAAGTGTCTGAAAAAATTTTTATCAGCAGCTCTACATTCACTGTACATAACCACACACACCTTTTGCTGCATTGTTGCATTGCACAGGTTCAACTAGTTACTGAAAACATTCTTCAAAGATTTTCACATGATATCATCAAACACTTGCTGCATATTGGCTGCACATTCATGACGTAAATCTCCAGTTTCACCACATCCCAAAGGTGCTGTACTGCATTGAGAGCTGGTGACTGTGGAAGCTATTTGAATACAGCAAACTCATTGTTTTTTTCAGGTAACAGGTTTTAGATTATTTAAGTTTTGCCACATGGTGTGTTATTCTGCTGGAAGCATAAGATGGGTACACTGTCATAAAGGGATGGAAATGATCATTAACAGTACTCAGAAGGCTGTGGCATTTAAATGATGCTCGGTTGGTTCTAAGAGTGCCACAGCATCCCCCAAATTGTTACACAACCACCAGCCTGAACAGATACACGGGAGGATGAATCCATGCTTTCACATTGTTTACGTCCAATTCTGATCCTGTTTTTTAGCTACACCTTTATACAGTGTACCTAATAAAGTGGCAGCAGAAATCAAGACTATTAGATCAGGCAACATTTTTCCTTCTATCTTCCCTTCTTTTACTATTGTCCAATTTTGTCAAGCCCATGTGAATTGTAATTGACAGGTGAAGGACCTAATATAGTTTTTTGCTGCTGTAATGGCCTGTGTTTGTATAGCGCTTTACTAGTCCCTAAGGACCACAAAGCGCTTTACACATCCAGTCATCCACCCATTCACACACACATTCACACACTGATGATGGCAGCTACATTGTAGCCACAGCCACCCTGGGGCGACAGAGGCGAGGCTGCCGGACACTGGCGCCACCGGGCCCTCTGACCACCACCAGTAGGCAATGGGTGAAGTGTCTTGCCCAAGGACAAACGACCGAGACTGTCCGAGCTGTAGTTCATCTGCTTCTGATTCCTACTCTGAAACTTCAGCAGATCATCTGGACCATGACCATGAGTTCTTGCCATTTGATTGGCTGATCAATATTGATGTTAATGAGCTACTGAACACCTTATTAAGTGGTCAGTGAGTGTATGTTGTTATTTGAAGTCCATTTGAGAACAGCAACACAATAGACAGAAGAAAACCTTGACAATGATTCAAAAACACACACAACCGACCTGTGAATTTGAATCTCCATATTTATTCTACTTGCTGTTGTCAGTGTTAATATTCCAAAAGGCTTAACAAATATAATAGAGTTGTAATTCTTGCATCTACAGGTATAAATGCGCTCACGTACATTCACAATCATACTACCCTTAGCAGCTCAGAGGTCATGTTCCCCAGTGAAAAAGGGGCCCTGTCTGTTTCTCTCCTTTGTCCACAACTTTGCTTCTTGCTCATTCGCTCTCATTCTCTCAACACGCCTGGTCCCGAGGCCTTTGGTGGCTTTTTCTTCTTCTGTTTATTTATTTATTATTTTTTTTACTAAAAACAAACGGGCTGTCTGTGCCTCCAGAAAACCTCCTCCTCACACATGCAGAAACCAATGCTCTTCCCACAGAATGAACACAGCACATTTTCCATCTTACTAATACCCGCTCACTCTGCTCTGTGCGCTGAAAATACATCTTTTGTTAGTGTGTTATCACTTTTAGTGGATAGTACTCATTAGTATTAGTATTTCTCTGCAGAACCAGTAGATGCTGCAAGCTTATCTGGGTTCAGTTACTAACTAGCACATTTGCCACTGAAGTGAAAGGTTGCTAGAGTCATGTGCTTCTCCAAATGCCTGATGGTGGTTATGAATTTGTCTTTGGAAATACTGTTACATGTGCGACTGTATTTTGCGTAGAAGCCTAATCTATTTGATTATGATAGGGAAATGAACTCTTGGGAGCTCAATATCCTGGAACTCACCATGATGTGTCTATAAAAGCTGTACTGTCAAAAACAGACTCTGTTACACGTGCTCCACAGTTTTGCTGAGACAACACAATAATAGTGAGTTAGGGGTTAGGAACTGGTTTATTAGACAGCAGTTTTAGACATCTAGAACTGTATGACTACTCTATATGTGTACGGCACTGCCAACATAACAGACAATATAAAGGGTTAATAGTAAAGCAGCATCTGGTGCGTCAGGCTCTGCTCTACATTTTCTGTTTCTGTGTTCCATCTTCACAGGAAATAGGAATATTGCGCTCCAGCCCAGTAGATGACCGAGGTGCTGTGATTGTCAGTATACCATCACACGACAGACTGGAGGTGACCTCGGCACCTGTCACACCAGAAGGAAGCCTGTACTTCCTCAGAAACTCTCTTGACACATAGCCGTGGTCATCCTGAAACAGAATTAGTGAGTGCATCAGAACAGTGTGGCTAAATTTATTTTCTGGTGTTAAATTTGCTCATCTGACCTGTCTGTCTTCATGTTTGCCGTGTATTGTGATGAAATCATCACTAACGCTGACAGACAGCTCATCAGGGGAGAAATGCTTCACATCCACATAAATGACATAGCGATCCTTTTCCAAGCGCATCTAAATACATACAGTAGAGCAGTGAGTCAGCCTGGGATAAAAACCCATAAAAATCTTGTTTAATGAAGGACTTGCACCTGAAAATTACACAAACACTCATGATATCAGTGGAGGTTTGGACTCTGATGATCATTAATCCAAACCTCACAAACGAAAGGCCATAAAACACTGACATTTGTGCGTAACTCCCATGATGTAATAATCTTAATTACACAGGTGAACTGTACTCTACCTCACTGTGTCCATTGTCGGGCCAGTTGAACCAGCGCATAAACAAAGGGCGCATCCAGGGGAAGGACCAGGAGAATGGCCACATCATTGGCCAGTCAGTGAGAGGTTCTGCCATGGAGAGGTCAGGAAATCGATGTGGGAACGCCCGGCGGTACCAGGGATACTGGATGGGGATATCCATGGTGAGATTCCAAGAGGGTTGTAATAAATGACGAGGCAGGCTGACTAGTTCTGATTTGGTTTGAGATGGGTGCTGCTGTGCTCTCCTGCACTGAATTTATAGGTCTTTCCCTCCCATCCAAGCCAGACTTTGCCTCTGTTCACCACTTCTACACCCCCTCCCCTTCGTGACCTCCCATGCACACTTGCATATGGACTCTGCCAACAGCCTGATCTTTCTGGAACAATGATGTCAACTGTTTATCCCTCCATCACTCCCATTGTTTTATCTGTCTGATTGAGACTGGTTCTCTCCCTCGCCGTTACCCTCTATCTGTCCCTGTTCTCTCGGTCATGAGGTGACACTGGCTAGGAATACTGCTGACATCCTCCATGTTCATTCCCCAGGAAATACTCCTGTCTGGTGTGTGTGTGCCTGTGTGTGTGTTTTTGTGAGGGTTTGTTTGAGGAATAGCTGCCAGAGCATTAGCCTGCTGTGCTCTGAGTGCCAGGAGCTTTAGGTTTGTGTGTGGAGTGGATGTGTGACTGAATGGGAACTGATGAGTTTGTAAGGGCCAGCATTAGATGACACTGTGCGTATCATTTTGCTATGAGCTCAGATGTAAAATATGAAGTCCTTTGCGTTGGTTGTGCCAATAAATTTCTTTCATCCTCCCAGTCATGTTAGTACTGAAGGCTATATGCATTAAATTATATCTGCAAGCATAGAGGTTCATCAGAAGCTTTTAAACCATCACACCATGAATTTTAGTTTTAGTGCTTTGCAGACCAAGCCCAGGCACTGTGCCTGAGCCAAAGATCAGTCCAATCAAAGCTGGAGTTTTTATCTATCATTAAATTGCGAGCTGCTTAATTGCCCAATATAAATGTTAGGTTTATGGACAGGTGGAAATGAATTCAGGTAAGAAAGCAATAAAGTCACTCCAAGGCACTAAAGCATGAGCATGGCAGGTAGCAGTAAAAGCCCTGACTGTAGTGAATTAAAGGATTTGTATTTTACTGATTATAAATGAAAGCTTTGTAAGTGTAAGACATTATATGTTTAATCAGTCTTTGTTAAACTGTTACCTTTTTAAAACTGTCCAAAAGCTCAGCAGAAATATGTACTGAATTCCTTTTTCTTTTCTTGCCCTTAAGGCCTTTCAGGAAGGTTCTCCAAAACGTGGTTAACGTTGTTTGTCGCAAACTATAAGTTTTCCCTACACACGGGAAACTAGTTTTCATTCTTAAACCCAACAAAAGAATAGAAAAGAAACAAAGAAAATGAAAGGAAATACGGTATCCACAAAGTCGGCCCTATTAGCGTCGCTTGTTACCATGGTGATGTGTCTTGTCCCGGTCTCTTACACTGGAGCAGTTTTGTTGGTGTAGTTGGAAATAACCAACATAAATGTGCTAGCCGGTCAGAATCGTTTTTGTGGACGCAGAAATGGATTTACCAGCGTTGTATTATGGGGAACTTGATCAAAGAAACCCAGTACTTTCAGCTTTTAAGCGAGAGATTAACTCGTTTATAACGCTGATGAAACAAGTGGCTTCGTCGAACAACCAGGACAACAGCACTTATGCTAAAGGGTGAGATGCTAAAAAGCCAAGTCAGCGCTAGCTTATAAAGCTCATATTATAGGAAACTTTAGCTTCCTATAATAAAATCAACGTAGGCTTATTTCAATATTTTTTTTAAAGCTAGTTGCGTGCAGTTTTTATTACCGTCATTGTTCCACTAAAATGTATTTAGCTAATACTAAATGATACACTGTGTAGCTTATAATTAGTATGGTGTTTATGATTTGACCATAATATATATAAATGTTTGATAAGGTCCAGTGACTAGTCTCAAACACTTGGCTTGTAAGAAAAGTCTTGAGTGCACCATTTACATTTTTTGCTTTGCTATAACTGCAACACAAATCTGCTGTATAAAGCAGGATTGCAGTGGCCTTTAAAAATAACTTCAATATCATACTGCAAGCTATACTTTTTAGCAGACGCTGACAGTTGTTGCAAGCCAGCATCATTAAAAAAAAAAGAACAACCGAGTCATCAGCGTACATCACAGCATAATTAAAGGCTTTCTCCTATCATGCATCCACTGAATGTCCTTGTTTAACTTTTTAAAAACATCATGTAGAAAATGAAAATAACAATGTTCAGTTTGTCAGTATCCCAAAAAACAGATTTGAACATATTTTATATTACATAGATCTTGAACCAGTTAGAGATCTCTTGGTGTTGGTGTTTGCTTATTTATGTTATTTATTTTAAAGCTATGCTTTTCTGAATTCATTTTCAAAGGATTAAAATCCTGGTGGAGATATGGAAAAAGTTCAAACATCGACTGCCTTTGAAACTGTACCAGGAGCACATGTTGCATATTGCAGATTTTCTCTTTGGAATAAAGGTAAAGGTATCCCCCAAATCCCCCAAATTAGAATACCTACTAATATTTGGTTACCACAGACTTTTTCTTTGATTAAATATTAATTCAGTCTGCGCGACACAGTTTTATCAGTCACTATCGTCAGTCTTGGTTGCTGTGAATTCTTTGTTTTACTACTTGACTCATCGGTTTTGTTCTCAGTATTTGCAATCTTGGTTTTGCTGCAGTAAAACTATAAGAAGCCTTTGGATATGTTGTCTTCTGCGCATTAATTACATGTTAACACATTCACAGTGTTATTTTTCTTCCCTCTGCTTCTTCAAGCTGTACCAGCTGGCTCTAAGGCAGGGCTACAGTCTCCACCTGTCACAGTTCAGCTCAGTGAAAATAACTGACATCACAAATGTGGATCAGTTTATGGCCTGCTTCTTCCCCGAAGGGCTTGATACAGACCAAAATATCTTTGCCATGAAGGTAAGGTACACATCACTGTGTGACTGTGTGTGTCCTGTGTATCTCTGTGTAGAATGTTGTGTAATAACTGTTTCCAGGATTTGCTTTGTTGTTTTATGCTACAAAGAAAGTTTACTACGTTGGCTGAGGTCATTGACATTTTGAGACATTTTTATTAAAAATTTGCTATTATTCTGTATGTATCCATGTGTCTGTGCCTGTGTGTCTGTCCTCTATATGTGTGTGTTTGTGTCTGTGTGTGTACAGGTACGTGCCATGCAGGGCTGTGCCCTGTGTATATTTGAGCTGGAGAGACAGCACAGTTTCCTCAGCCAAAAGGGGCTCTGTAAACTGCTGCGTGTGCTGAACTTCACGAGGACCATGATGCAGGCATTTCAGCAACATGAGCACCTCTACTGGCAGATATATAATGGTATATTAGAAGAACTTGTATAATTCAGTGTGATATTTCTATCTAGGAGTAATATTGGTAGAACAAATTGAGCTCTCAAAATGTGAAGATAAAAATGAAAATGAACTGCTCATAAACTGTTTAAATACTATTGTATTAAGTATTGTGAGGTGTATCTGCCCTCCTAATGTATTTCTATCTCTTGTCATCCAGGTTCATTACACATTTACAATGTCTGCCGTTATTTGATGACTATGCAGTGTAGCGCGCAGGTACTGTTCACTCCTGCCACTTTTCACTTCTGCTACTCATTCCTAAAGCAGGGATGTCAAACATAAGGCTCACAGGCCAAAATCAGCCTGTCAAGGTCTCCGATCTGGCCCTCTGGGTTGCTTTGAAAAATGTGAAGAAAGGCATACATTTGGGGTTTTTAACTGTGATTTGTAACTGTGATTTCCTAATGATAAAGACCTCGTCTATTGCCATTCATACTACATCAAAGTAAGCAGTAGATAAGCAAACAAGTTCCAAGTTTTTTTTACTCAATCAAAGTGGGCTGTATCTGGCCCACGATGTGAAATGAGTTTGACACCCCTGCCCTAAAGGAAAAGAAAAACATGAAGGATGGCGAGAAAATCATGTGTGACAGAGACTGAATGTCTAAATGAATGTTGGAATATGGCTTTGGACTGATTTTGAGTGACAATATTTCAGTTTTAATTGATTGAGCCTCTGCACATTGCAGAACACACAACTAAATCTGTGTAATATTGTTATATAATGACTGTAGTGTATAATAAAATTGTGTAGTTGTCTTTTTAATCCTTTGTGATACTTACAGCCTCCGTTTGTCATCCTATTCAGGCACTGGAGTACCTCCTGTGGGCAAGCATCAGTTTGGAGTTGTCCATCCCTCTGATGACAGCTAAGTATCTGCCAGTGATTGTCACACTCTACTGTGCCGTCTGCCAGTGTTACTATGACAACCATGCTGAGGTGCAGGCAGAGGTGAAATACGTCAGCGTCAGACACCTACAAATACACGATTTGATCCTTCACAGGCTGATCTAATCAGTAATAAATGCTAATTGTAACTTGGTGTTGATCTTTATATAATTTTCTTAGCCTGCCTGCTGTTAATCAGCACAAGGCACTAAATTATTCCTCATGCTTGACTGTACAAAAAGAAAGTCTTGCTGGTATGGTTAACCCATGAGTATATTTGCTAATTACATTTGTTTGTATATTTTATTTTGAAATGCAACCATCATATTGTTGCAATAAAAGTTAATTGGAGTCTGAATTCCCATTTTGGGCTGTGTTTGTGTGTCCTCAAATGCTCTCAGGAATTTGCCCGGAGAGCCCTTGGAAAAATCAACGAATTAGCAAAACTCGGGGAGCACAGTGAAGTTCCTGCCACCAGAGAGACTCAGAGAGCTTACAAAGATGCCTCCATCAAGGCAAGAAACTTGGCCTTGAGATACATCAGCACACTATGTTGTTGTGATAAAATGCTGTTGTTTCTTAGTGTGTTAGATACAGCAATTTCCATACTTACATGCTCACAACTGAATATAGTCACTTCTGAAGAAGCTTACTTACCTTTTCAGTGTTTTACAGTATCGCTGTGCTCTTCTTTGGTTAACATATGAAAGGCGATTGAGAGCGTTCTGTTTTTCAGCTTGGTGCCATGATTTTCAAGCGAGCAGCATTTGAGACCCGAAAGAGACCCAAAACCCTGTACAAGAGCAAAATCAAAAGCACCCTGAAGGACATACCTAATGTAATGGGATCTGCTTTACTGCCATATCATCATATTTAATGTTAATTCTTACTTTTAAATGCAGTGTAATTTAGGGGCTCTTGTTAGTTGTTTAACGCTGTATACTCTGTGTTATCACTTTAAATCTTCCATCACTCAATGCATTGCCTTTGTTGGATTTCTTTAATAATAATAACAATTAAATAACCCCTAGCCATATATTTTAATTGTTTGAACCCTAGATTTCTGTTTTAGTTCTGTTTGTTTTTTACAACCTGTTTGCTTCTAAGGAAATCTAATGTTGTGAGTCGGTGTTGTAACTAAAATCACATGCCTATGTGTGTGTACTGTAGGTGCCATGGCCTCGTACCCCAACAGAGCGCCTGCTAATAGGCTTGTTTGAGTGCAGTGCAGCACAGTTCCTGGGCATTTTGGAAGCACTCTGGGACAGCAACATGCGGCCACTTCAAATGAGAATGCCTGAAGATCCGGAGCTACAAGAGGTCTACCTGGAACTCTTGTCTGCTGGAATTAGTTTGTTATCTTGTTAGTGAAACAAGTACACAATAAAAAACATTTTGTGATTTCAGTAAGGTGAGGGATTCTGAGTGGGTAATGTACATGTATGGCCATGTCTGTTAAGGTGTCACTGGTGAGCAGAGGTATGATGACCACCCGTGCCTGTCTCCTCTTGTACTGACACAGAATTCGACTCTGATAGATCTAGCCATTTCAGGTGAGTCATTTTGGTCCTTTATTACAATGAGCATGTGTGTTTGTTTTGTGCATTGCTTTAAAAGTCAGTATGAGATAAGGAAATGTGTTGTGTTGCTAGGAGAAAACAAAATACCCATCATATCTGCAGTGAGGTTCATCAAACTGCTGTTTCAGTACAAGCAGCTGGATGCATTTACTGAACTCAGCACAGAGATGCTGCAGGTTTTGACTGTAAGTAGCACACAAGCAAAAATGCTTTAATTCATATTAATGAGAAAAGTGGAATACATCAGGTTTCACTTGCATTTCAAGATTGATGATTCGGTTTGGGGCGTCCACTGTTTGAATGATCATCAGGGAAGTTTTTATTTAATTTGGCTTTCTCTAATCACAGAGTTTGGATGGCCAATCATTCAGGAGGGAAAAGCAGGAGCTTGCTTTGCTTCACAGTTTCAACATTTTGCTGTCTACCCAGAGGAGCCCTCCTAAAGAAGACATCACAAGCAAAGGTAGCAATGTTAAATCTGCCAGACTTATTACATTTTTCAGGCTCCAAACTTTTATTTTGAAAAATAAATCTTATTAATAAAGGATTCATTAAATAGCTTTCTGCCTCTCTGTCCTTGAATTTTACATTTTTGTTTGTGTTTTTAAGCTGCTACAGAGTTTATCAGTATATTAATTTTTTACCGCATGTAATACATCCAATTTTGATCAAAATTATCAAGATTAGTATATCTGGAATCTAATTTTTCAAATCAGTTACCCCAGCACCATGCTAGCACAAATTCTGAGTAATGTTCAATCAATATTGTGAGAATAGAGCTGGTAAAGGTTTAGATATTTCACTGAAAGCAAGTAGGTATTATGTAACTTCTGTCCAGGGATCACCACTTACCTAAATCAAATAGAGTACATATGAGAAATGTCAACTGCAAAACATGTCTGGATCTATTTTTTCGTGTTGTTTTTAGATCAAATAATGTACTAAACATTGATTAATTGTTAGTATGGTGGTCAGTGGTGAGCCTTGGTTCCTCAGATTATTCAAAACTAATCTCAGCAATCACAATATAAAGTGGTCATGTTCTCTTATGTTTCCACAGACCAACATAAGGCTTCACTTTCTATGAGTGATAAACTGATGGATCTGGTAGAAACCCTTCACAAATCCGTCTGTGATTCTGCTCCTGTAAGTTTCTATGCCACGTACTGTTTGCAGGTGTTTGTGTTGAGGATAAAGGATTAGGGTTCAGGCTAAAGTTAGAATTCAGAGGAGGAGATTTATAAGCATATAAGCTGTGTGTGTTCGTGTCTGTGTAGGAGGTGCAGCCAGATGCAGACCTGATTCTGGATATTGTGTTGTTCCTGTGGGGTAAGATGAAAGCGGTGATACAGAGAGATCCTCTGCAAAATCAAGAGAAGGTGTGTGTTCAAATAAATATTCCCTGCGGCTGCTTCCGACTTTATTGCTGTTAAATATAAAACTTTGCATATTACATTCATGAATTTTCATTGTTCTGTTCATTTGTCCTTTTTGCTGTTTGTAAATCTATTTTTGCAGTGGTTGTGGTGTCTTTATGTGTTGTATGAGGTGGCCCTCGCCTGTGACCTGGCAGCTGTTGACTGTATCATGATAGCAGAGATGAGCCACACATTGGGCAGGCTGCTTGAGAATGCAGCTGAATATTTTCTTGAAACTTCAACGTCAGGTGCGAGGTTATTTTCTGCCACTTGCCCTGTTACGGTCTGCTGGAGATTTAAAGCTATTGTTGTTTGTACTGTATCTATTTGATCTTGCACCGTCACAAACACACACATACGCACACATGCACTACAGACACAAACCAAAGCTTTGAGAATATTTTTATTCTCATGTCTTCTCTCCAGAAGTTTGCGAAAGACACTGTGATGATGCAAAGCCAAACTCTTTCTCTATTCTTGAGGTATGTAAATAGACTGGTTGGGCATACCATCAAAATGTGAACAAATGACATCTATTGCGTGCTATTGCGCAGTGTCCTGTCTCTTGTTTACTGAAAGTATGAAGTGAACTTTTTATATGTGTGTTTGTGTTTGCAGAGTTCAAGCACAGAGCTGCTTCAGAAAGTGTGTGAGGTGGTAAAGAGGGGTCTTGAAGCTTTGGCAAAGGTTGCGGCTATGCTGGCCCCCCAGGACTGCTCAGCTTTCACTGACTTTGCGTTCATGCAGGTACACAGTCATCTTGTCCCACACTCATTTCTAGCATGTTGGTAAATATTCTTTCTCACATTTACTGAGTTTATTTACTAAATCTTGTATGGGCATGCAGTTTTTTGTTTTGTTTTTTTAAATTGCACGTGTTCTTCTTCTGATAGAAATTTAGTCCCCTCCAGTCATCGGCTTTTTCCACAACCTCTCCAAAATCATCAAAACACAGAAATGAAGACGATGGAGTAAATCTGAAAAAAGGAGAGGTGGAAACTCAGACAGAATCTGACTTTAATGGCTGTCGACAAACTGAAGCCACATGCACGTATCTTTTGATCAAAGATCTCCACCTAGAGTTGGACATTATCCTCCACAGGGCTTCCCTCAAGTTGTTGCAGCTAAATGCAGGTCAGAGTTGCTCTGGTGGTTTTACTCACCAGTGATTTTGGACAAGTAGTTCAAGCTCTGCACTGACTGAATTGGCAAAATATTGCTACTTCACACTTGCACATTTATAAACAGAAGTTAAAATCTGGCAACAGTAAATCATAGTTAGAGGGAATTAAATAAATATGCTTACCGACAAGTTGTATGTCTGACTATAATATAAATTGTGAGTAAACTGTCTTTGTTTAGTTGTAGAGTCTGAACTGTTGGACCGGATCAAAAAAAACAAGGTGTCCAAAGCTCTGTTCCTGATCCAGAAAGCTTTGCTGGTGTACAACAACATGGAACAAAGTGACATCAGTGAAACCAAAAGTCTGCTGGAGGTTAAACAAGCAGAATACTCTCTCAACATTTGGTTGATTATAGCCACATTTGGACTTACTGGTGTTTAATATTAGTTTTAAGGACATGTGAAAATTATACTGCTGTGCGCTGTTGATAGGATGCTGCTACCCTCATAGAGAAAGCAGGTATGGAGGAGAGAAAAGTGTACATGTCCTCAACTCCTAATACTACATCTGAAGATAAAGGGATAGTAATCAAGGAGGACAGACAGAGCCCTCCACCTCCTCCTGTCCTACTCTCACGCAACGACCACTCCATGACCTTTGCCCCAGCACCTTATAACTTAGAGGGACAAGTGAGATTTACATTTAATTAGGCCATCATTTTACTAATCTTAATAACCTAACAGTGAGCAAATAATCCACACATGTTCAACACTTCTTTTGTTTCCTTTGAGGTGTGCTGGTACCAGCTTTGCGGTCGGGTAGCTGAGGGCATAAACCGGAAAGTCCGGCTTGGAGACTGCAGCCTTCCAGGAACTGGAAATATGGTGCAGTTTATTTCTTCACAGAAGAAGAATATCAAGTGTAGTGAAAACTTATTTTTGTCATTATCACTTACCTCTGTGTATATGATTTTGTTTCAAGGTACCTGCTGTATCTGGTGAGTGTGTGCTGAGGGTGGAGGGTCTGGAGCCCAATCAGAAGTATGTGTTTGCTGTTGCAGCATACAACAGTCAGGGAGAGCTACTGGGCAGCACTATAGGGGGGACAACATTACCACTGTTGGCATCCATGCCTGTACCGCTGCTCTCTGCTTGGGCTCATTTGGCTAAGGTACAATTTCAAGCTACTCTACACTTGTACCAAGTAGACAGAGAAAGGTTTGGGCTATGTTTTTAGCCTTGTTGACTTTTTCCTCAGGTGGCTTTTCAGACAGAGCAGTATGCTGTAGCAAAAAGAGCCTGCAGAGAACTTTGGAGCCACTGCACCTACCCTGACAGTGAGTCCAACAGCACAGAGGGCAGACTAGCCACCACAGGGTGAGGAGGGAAACACACAGCACACAGTACCAGTCAAGGAATTTTCTTTTTTGTTTTGTATTTACTTACCTCCTACTCTGTCTTCATTTATCATGCTAAAGACTACACAAAGAAATCCTGCAGTACTCCTCTCTTCACTTGTGTCAGCTGTTTCTCACGTCCATCTTCATAGAGACAGAGATCAACATTCAGCAGGGATCACTCTATTGTGACTCATTCAGTGACAATGGACCATTTATCTGGGAAAAAGTAAATACCTGAGTCTTGTTGAGCACTATGCAGTGACACTAACTTATACACTTATTTTGCATTTTCTAAATGGAATGCTCTTCCTGTTTGTACGCAGGAAGCCAGACTGGCAGAATGCGAGCGAATGCTGGTGGCCATGGACTTGGCGATGTGTTTGAATGATGCGGCTGCTGCTTTGCAGGCTGCAGTTAGCTGCTACGGGCTCCTGGCACCTATAATGTTCCATCAGATTACTTGTGACTCTGTGGTGCAAGTATGCAACCACCACGTCCATAAAAGTATTAACAGTATAACATAGTAAGAACTATAAATGAATAATCATACCTCTGTTTGTGTTCTGGTGTTCAGGTACTAAAAAAATGCTTGATGGTTTTGGAGGAGAATTCAGGTCTTCTAAAACAAAAATGGACTGGAAACACCTCAGAATCTTTTATCCACATGATAGCCTGCATCACCTACTACCTGGCAAAGGTGTCTGTGTGTGTGTGTGCGTGCGTGTGTGCACATATTGTTCATGTTAATGTGTGTACAAATATATAACCTTTTCTAATTGTATGCACAGGTTTTAAAGTTTTATACATAAAAGTTTTGATTACTTCTTGCACTCATAGTTTGCATGTATATATTTGCACTGCATATTGGTTGACAACGCTCCGTTGGATTTACCACTACATAAAATCTTTTTGTATAGTTTGAGTCCATGCTACAATGCCAATCCATTTGTGTATTTATTATTTTGTGTTGACTTTTACTTACATTTACAGTGACTTACATGGAATTTAAAATAAGAATAAAATCAAAACTTTGTGCAAACTAACTGGGAACTCTTCTGTTCTTCCTGACAGACGTTGCGTGAGCTCAGGAAACACGAGATGGCCAAAGCACTGATGGACTGTGGCTGCAGGCTACTTCAGGATGTCTATCATGCCCAGCTGCAGATTAGGAGACTCACCAATCAATCTGAGGGTGTAAGAGCTGTTTTCTGGATGCTGTTGTGATATATTATGTATATACTTAAGTAAAGTACGACTTCTAGCATTTTTGTGCATTTCCATGTGTATAGCGTAAAACAGCAGATCAAGCCACAGTCAAGAGTGAGATGAAAATAAGTCGTCAGCTGAAGGCACTGGAAAGAAAGAACAAGGAAATAACAGTTTCAAATGGAACACACACCCCAGAGCCTGGTAATAAACACATGTACTCACACTGGTCCTGTTAGTGGTGTGCAAAAGTCTTAAACCATTCCTTATTTCTTTGTATTTTGCTACGTAAATGGGAAATTGGTGCAGTAATTTATTGAAATGTGGAAACATACACTGAAATACAGTAAATAATGAACATCTTTATTCTTCAACACAGCCTAAACTCTCTTGGGGATGCTTTCTTGTGATTTGCAAGTAGTCAGGAATTCAGGAATGGTTCTTCGAGCTTCTTGAAGGACATTCAAAGCTCTTCTCTGGATGTTATCTGCCTTTTGTTCTGTTCCCTGTCAACATGATCCTACACTGATTCAGTAATGTTGAGGAAAAGCCAATCCATTAGTGATATTGTGTTTTTCTATTCAGCCTTTACTGCATTGACGATGTGTTTGGAATCGTTGCTATCCTGAAAAATGATGCTTTCCAGATGATAAGCATCTGGAAAAGATACAATTTAAAATTATTTTCCAAGTCTTAAGTGGCTTAATAAAAGCATTTTCTGAAAATGGTCATGTACAAGCACTAGACTGAAAATGAGTGACAAAATTGCCAATGTCCAAAACCCTTCAGAAAGCCTCGGGTGTTGTTCAACAACACTTAAAAAATGACAAGGTTGACTCTTTGAAAACAAATCAGGAAGAAATGAGGGATGGCACAAGATTTTTGCACAGTAATGCTTATAGAAGAAAGTTTGCATTTTTGTTATTAATCCTGTCATTTTTGGACTGATTTCTATGTATTTTTTCATATATTTTTCCAGAGACTTCTCAGACACTAACCGTCTCAGAAGATCCAAACTTATTGTACGAGCTGATCTCCAGTGGCACATTAAAGGATGCCTACATGCATGGTAAGCTGTATAGTCTTTCATATTTTTTTATGACGTAATTATTAGTATTGCTAATTCGTAGGTTTGTTCGTGTGTGTGTCCTTGATAGTAATGAAACTCCGACGCAAGGTGTATTTTACTGAGTTTGCTGCACTGCTACTCCAAAGAACCATGAAAGAAGGCCATATAGACCTTGTGTTGGAATGGGGGCAGAGCCTGTTTCAGTTTCTTTCCAGGTGATAAAGCTCTTCAATATATTTTCCAAAGCTAAAGACACCTAAAGATATCAGAAAGATATGAATGTCTGTTTCATTAAGTAAAGTTCGTGAATAGTTTTCTCTTTGGCAGCCGTGACGAGGCGATGGTACTGTCCGCTAAATGTTTGGAGGGGCACGGTCAGATTAGAAAAAGAAGTGGAAACCAGAATGCAAAAGGAAACGAAACCTCCCAGGTGATGATACAACATGTGCACACATGCATGTAGTTAATAAGGGCAGGAAATATCTGAGTTACACTGACAAAAATGTACATTACATCTCTGAATCTTTGGCTTATCAGGCTCAGTTTTAGTGCCAAAATAATGCTGCGACTTGAGAGAAAACTTTGTTTTTACTTTGTTGCTGCAATATCAACTAAAAACAATACCATGTGCTGCCCTTTAAACAGAACAAGAACTCTTCTTCACATGATGATACAAGAAAGAAAGCAAAGCATAAATTGGCACAGAATATGCTTTTGAAAACGAGGACTCACAGGTAGAGTATCTGTGTTTTTGTTTTTCTGTTTTCAGGAGGTTTCTTGATAATTTCTGTAAGTCCATATATAATAAATGTGTTCATGTTTGTAGGGAAGTGCTGGCTATGGAGAACTCGCTTGCTATGATTTCATCTGTGATGCAGCGCCGAAAGAAGAGGCTACAGCTGAGGCACACTTGCGCTGTGGAGAGGGTGTGGAGATATCACCTGAACTACTGCATGGCTCAGGCCCATTTAGCAGTGTTTTACCAGCGTCTGGCCCAACAACACAGAGGAGACCTGGAGCAGAGGTTCACACACAGAGATGCCAGATATTATCCTTTACTTTTTCATTTTTTTTCTCTTTGTAATAAAAGACTCACACTGAAGACAAACACTAAGAAACAACATTTTTCTGATTGATGCTAAGCAGCTTTGCCTTGTTTTTGGGTGGCAATGTATTTACTTTTACGTGTATTATCTGAGCTGAGATACTGTAGTACTTCACATGGTTGACTAATTATAAAATGTCCTGCACTGTTTGTTCTTTTAACAGATACAGCCAGTTTCACCCTTTGTGTTTTTCTCTGGCTTACTCTGGTGTCCTGGTATGGAGGAACAACTTGCAGCAACATGAGTTGGAGTCTTCAAATGAAGCTGTTTTACTTGAAGACTCATCTGAACACATGGACTATGTGATGACAGCTCACAGAGATAGAGGAAGAAAGGAAGGTGAGAAGAAAAAGGCACACGGAAAATAAAGTGAAGAGAAAAGCTAGCATCTGGTCTGTCTGTCATCATTTGTCTTAATCTTTTGTAGCAGCTGATGGCTCTGTCGCAGAGGACAGATGTAAGGAGGGAGAGGGCTCTCCTCATTCTGTGGAACAGCAGATGGAGGCACAGAGGTGCACTGGTGCCACACTGCTGGAGTCAATTAACAAAGTTGCTGTGCATCTCCGGAGAGCTATGGTACCATTGATACATATGTGGATGTAAACTTATATATGACTTTACAGTGGCTCATCTGCATCCAACTCTAACCCCAGCATCCTCCTGTGTTACACCAACCCTCTGCATGTCCTCCTTCACTACAAACGTGAACATTCTCTGTGGTCTTCCTCTTTTCCTCCTTCTTCAACAGCCTTTGTCCAGTATATCCACTCCCCCTCCTCTGCACAACTTACAGTCCAACCTGAGCTGTCCCTCTGATGTACTCATATCTAATACTGTTCATTATTTTCCAGGTGTTGGCTCATCGTGGCAACCACTGGACCACTCTGCAGTGTGTGTGTCAGGCACTGTGGGACCAAAGCTGCAGAATCACTGTCCTTGTACAGAGAGCTGCTCAGCTTGAAACTCCATGTACGATTACAGCAGAACAGCTACACAGTATTCTCACCCCACTGCTGGTGCTGGCCACTGACTTCATCATGGACATGCTGCAAAAACTAGGGGTGAGCTTAACATATTGCTATTTGTACTAATAGCTGCTTTCTAAAAACTTGCACATATTTTTATTCCTAGGAAAGTATAAAGACAAAACCACAGCTTACATGTCACTATGTGTACTTTTACATTTTCATCTGCATTTCTGCCCCTGCTAGCTCTGGAGTTTGTATGGCAGTGACTTGACTGAAGATGAGCTAGAGTCCAGTCTCCACTTCTCAGTCCCACTTGATGATAGCACCCAGGTGGATCTGCGTTGGGTCCGCACGTTGGTGTTGCACACTCTTGAGCGGCTCCATGACAGTGGCAAGTGGGAAAGCCTGGCCCACTTTGCTTTACTTTTCAACTCATACACACGGTGAATAAGACGTACTACAAATCTTCTTCTTCTTTTGGCTGCTTCTGTCTAATCTATCACATCAACCCTCTGCATGTCCTCCTCTGAGGTCTTCTATAAGACTTATTACAAATAAAAACAGTTGTTAGGGAGAAGTAAATCAAATGCTCTTTGAGGTCTTGGCATCGCAGGAGATTTGTGTGGGGTCGTTGTACTTTGCATGAAACATAAATTCACCATAAGAAGCCAGGAAAACTCAAAATCATGTAATATAGAGAAACTTGATGAATACTGTGTTTTTTCACTTGTTAATGACCAAGACATTTAGTTCATCACAATCTATGTTCCTGACAATGTTTTGTGTATTTGTTTCCATCTATGTAACGATACCAGGGATCGGTATACTGTTATCGTAACTCCTCTGCTTGTCCACGCCCAGAGGATGTTACTTGAAAGAATAAACTCTTTTGGAGGCCCTTCAGTCCCACAGCCACACCATGTCAACACACAGAAAGCCACTGGAAAAGAGGTAGCACAGACCCATACACAGAAACGCACACACAAAGCATAGCAAAAAAAAAAAAAAAGTGCTCCTGTGCATGGGTGAATGAGGCAAGTCGTGTAAAGCGCTTTGAGTTCTCAGATAAAGTAGAAAAGTGCCAGCCTATTTACCATTTACACTCCCATTTACTGTAACTGTGGCTCACTTAGCTACCACCTGAGATACCACCTTTAAATCAACCTCAGACTCCTCCTGTCCATGTGTCAAGGTATTCTTGGAGAAACCAAAGTTGCCCCTGATGCATTTATCAGAGTGTGAGTGTGTGTGAATATTAGAAATAAATGCTTAGGTATATCTAAAAGCACCTTATGAATGTGTGTGTGAATGAGAATTTTAGTAGGACGCTCTTTGAGTAGAAAGGGGCTATATAAGTACCGGTCGTCATTTGTTGGTTAAAATCAAAGTGTAAGAAGTAAAACTAAGGCAGTACAAATGGTTTTATACAGAAATATTGTGGAATATTTGAAAAACTTAAATTATTTCAGTTAAATATCTCATAACTCACAGCACCACGGAATCTATGTTTGTTCTAGTTGCAGTCCTTAGTTAATTTATCTCTTGTGTCTACAATCTTGCATTGTCTGTATTGTGCAGTAAATGAGTGTATATTATGCTTTTCAGGTGACCAATAAAAGTTATGCAGGCTGCCAGCTTCTCAGTGGTCGGATCCATCACGCTGCACAGAAACGGCACCTTCACAAAAAAGCAGCACTAACAAACTTGATTCCTCGAGATCTTACAGGTTTACACAGCCAAACAGCGCATCTAAAATAATGTTAACACTGGTTTGTGTGCAGTAAATAGTAATGACTAAATACTAGAGTAAGAACTAAATGTTAGACAATAACTTGCAGCAGCGCATGTGTCACATTTTCATGTACATGCTGTATTTTTAAGGTGCAGAGATACAGCACGCCATGTCCCTTGTTTGTGTCCCACTGGATGTAGAGGACACGCTGAGCTGTTATCATCAAGCTCTTGAGAAAAAACCATATTGTCTTCAGATGTTCCAGCACAGTCGCTCACTGCTTGTGCTGCTTCTGGCAAACACACAACCCTGTAAGTTCATCACTGTTTGAATAACACATACACATGTCGCACACAGTATTTTAAATTAACACGTTTTGCACTGCTTGTGTCCCTCGTGAGGTTTTATGATACCGACGCAGCATTGTCGGAGCCGAGGTCTCAGCCATTCAGCGAGCTTTGTGAATTTCAGTCCTGTTGTTATGCCCACTCCAAACATCCAACCATGTGACCTGACAGAGGAGGACTACAGTACTCCAGATGCTATCTATGGCTTCCCTATCAGCCGTGACCACTTGCAGACTATCATTTCTGCATACTCCACTTCTATAAGTACGAGAACAAAAAATGTTTAGAAACTGTCGAGACTTTTATTGCACATTTTACATAAATAAGGAAATATCAACAAATGCAGACTAAGTGACCTTACAGCAACATAGGATGAAGACATATGAACACATATTTCAGTGGGTCAGATGGTTTACTGTCCTTATAATTATCATTCACCTTTTCCTCAGAATACCTGAAGGCTAACAGCCGTGACTCCCTCAGAGTTCTGGCTCTGCATGAACTGGGAAACCTACAGTTCTACAGTGGAAACACACGGTTAGCAAACTGTTGTACACGAGTGTGTTGGAACAAGTCTTCAGCATTGTATTTAAATGCACTTACTTGTATTTAAATGCATTTTCAACCTTTTATCAAAAGCAAAACTCAGATTGGCATAATTTATGATTTATTATGGTAAGAATTTTATTCCTGGTGTTTTTTATTTCCAGAGCTGCTCACTCATGCTGGAGTAAAGCCGTAGATTGTGCCTTGCAGAGCTCAGGTGTTTTGGAGAAATGGGATGGCGCGTCGCTTGGGAATGGCTCCCTGCAAGAAATTCTAAGGCAGGCTGGAATGTGGGGATGTCTGCAGGCGGCTGTGGTCACTGCTAAGATAGCACAGTAGGTTTCACTGAGGTTTATCATTGATTTGATGTGTTTTTTCATGTGTTTTCCAAGCATACACCTTTAGGTTTCGCCAACTCCTGCTGCATGTTTTTTGGTTCTGCAGGTTTATCTTAACTTCTGATATCAACCAGCGGACAAAGTACTGTCTCCTGTCTGCTTACCTGTTTAAGGTAAAACACATGGTTTGAGCAGATATACTGTTGCGTGTTTTAATGTGTAGGTATGCATGCGTATGCATTCATTCCTACATGCCAAGGGCAAAGCATGTAATAGACACCCAGTTCGCTTTGCCTCTCCAAAGGGTGAAATGGACAAGCATGCAGAAGCTGCATTACCAACAGGGGGAGATAATACATTTAAGCCAAGACATCAGTAGTGAGCAAAAATCATATAAAGTGCATTCTAGAGTCCTTCATTGCCAGAAACCATTAAGCTAGGTGCCTAATATGTATTTACATGTAAATATGTTAATAATGTCTATGTAAATGATTTCCCCTGATTGTTTTAATGTTGTCTTGAAATAAAATATCTCCCTCTGCTGTTATTACAACTTACTGCAACTTCTGCACATGTGTCCACTTCATGCTTTGGAGAGGCAAAGCATGAAGTGGACACAGTGGACTGGAGTGTCTATTACACATTTTTGCTTCCTTCTTTAGAGTTTGCTGTGTTGCTCCATGGCTCAACCCCAGGCAGACCTCCAGTACGCCTCCTACAGCATCGGAGATGAGTTGCTCCCTGGAGTTGACCTTTTCTCCGAACCCCACAGGCTTCACCTCGGCACAACTGTGTCAAGCCTGAACTTTATTTGCCACTGGCTTTTAACCACTGGCTACTGCATCATGGTACACAAACACAAACACTGCCCGCTATTCATCAGTGCTTATGATAAATGACTGGCTTTGTGTTAAGTTGTGTTTGTAATTTCAGCTGCTTCCTACACTAGCCCTCTATCTACATTTTGTGGGGACTGTGTGCAGAGACGTACAGCACACTGTTAAAGGCAAAATATTGAAGGTCAGAATTTGTTGTTTTTCCTGTGTTTGTATTCAAGTGTTTTGCTCTCATGGTGGATTTTCTAATCTGCCTGCGTGTTTTCTGCAGATACGTGCCCTTACTGAACTGTGTCTGTTCGCTGAAGCTGTGAAGGACGCAGTTCAGCTCACACGTGGAACAGGTGTCCTTCTGCCTCATGGACAATACATTGCCAGTGCCTGTGTCCAAGTAAGAGCATTTTGTTTTTAGAAGCTGAAAGAGAATTTTCAGTGTCTTTCCACATTTTCATTATTTTCATTTCAGTACACTCGTGTCCTTTGTTGTCCTGGTACTGGGAAAGGGTTTTTTAATGCATTGAACTTATGGAATCATCCATATGGAATTCTTAATATAGTTATAGTAATGATTACATTGGGTTTTTTTGTGTATATGCAATATTTCACTGTTGTTGAGATTATTTCAGTTACACTTCTGGCCTTGTGCAGTTTTGGCCTTGTCCTTGAAATGTCATGTGCAATACCCTCTCAGGAAGCCTGTCATATCTGATCTGTTTTAAACTGTGAGCTGGTCCGTCTTGTGAGCACTGCAAACTTCTGGTTATCACGTGGTAAAAAACTGATTTGAAACACTGTAAAATGCTGTTTTTCTATATGTCATAGCACAGTGATTAGCACTGTTGCCTCACAGCAAAAATGTCCTGAGTTTGACTCCACCACCAGGTCGCAGCCTTTCTGTGTAGAGTTTGCATGATCTCCCCACAACCCTAATAAGAGAATTGATGGATATATGTCATAATTTCACATATTTTTTTGTTTTCTTTTGTGCAGCCTACAAAGACATTCTGTAGCAACAAGTCTCTTCTGGACAATGCAGAGGTATTCTCCACATTACTGTAAAGTCACACTTCAGAGTTTAAGTCTCTTAGTCATACTGAATTGGGTCAACCCCCTTGCCCGTCCCTGTCATTTTGGCCTTCCAGGCAAATTTGAAAACACAAGTTAACCAGATATATGCACATGAAGTCACAAACATATACACAAGTACTGTACTAACCTCTTTTTTGTCTTTGTGCTGCTCTTTCAGCTGCATACAACTTCTTTTAAATAGATGCTCTCTAAAGTGATGTACTTCACTGGATTTTTATGAATGTAATCTGTGTGTTTGTGGTGCTTGTGTTAAGGCTTTGGAGGAACTTGTGAACTGTGACTTTACTCCAGAAGTCTGCACCCTGTATGGACCAGCACTGTGCCTCAGATTTAACCTTGCTCGTGTTCAACTAGTTCTGGCACTTACTAATGCTATCGCAAGCTATCCTGTGCCAGGTCTGTAATAAGAATAATTCTCTTTCTTTTGTTTTGTTTCTGTTTGAGGTGATTTAAACAAAAAGATTAGAGGTAAAATTGACTCTAAACTCACATTTAATATATGCGTTCACATGAAAAAATTACATTATTGTATACATAGTGCTGACTGTTAGCAAAAAAATTGCAATCTAAAAAGTTAAAGATGATTTGTCCATTTTTTATGGGAGTAATAAATTTGCATACACTCACATTAAAATATACTGTTCTGTATTTGTGCCCTAAATGTTCAAGTTCTCTTTAAAAGCAACTTCGGTGATAGAAAAAGTTGAGCGGATGAGGCAGTTTTGATGCTTTACAATTGTGAAATTTCAAAAGTGTGGATGTTTTGCAGATTCTGTGGAGGGAGAAGTTTGTATCAGTGTAACAAGTTGTTCGGTGGACCCAAAAGATGATGAGCAGGACAGTCCAGACACTGATGATTACTGTCCAAAGACAGGAGAACAGAAAGTTTTCAATCTTGATGCTAAGAATCTAACCCCAGAAAGGATAAAGGTAAGACTCTTGGGGATTTAAGTTTTCTTTATTTCACACAGTAAATAAAGGACTCAAGGTTGATCTGCAGAATGTGAACGATGCCAAAACACACAATAATTCCACATATTTTTTCCTGAATTCCTCTCCTCCTTTTGTAGTCCTTTAGGTAACATTTACACAGACTTTTTGATAAGACTTTCTAAAACCTTATTGAAATATATGAAAACAATCTGACCGAATTATCTCAGGCTCATTAAAATAATTATCCATTCACAAGTACAGGGTAGGATGAGGTGAGGCACACCCTTAAGAAATATAAAGTCAATTCTCTGCCATTTGTCATCTCTTCTGTTACAGTTCCTTTTGCTGGAACGCGCCTCCTCGTGGTTAAACACCATTTCAGAGCAGCTTGAATCTCATTCCTTGTGCAAAACGGAAACCCTGGAACTGACGATAGAATCCAATCTTCTAAAGGGCAACCTCTACATGCAACAAGGACATACGGCACTTTGGTACGATGACTTTATGCACGTCTACTGTGTACATGTGTATACAGTATCTTACCTATCCTAACCATTTTTATGTCCCCCCCTTCAGCTTTGACACGGCAGTTTCATCTTTGAAGCTGCTCCAAACATCACCTGTGACTGTGAGAGGATCCGGGGCTGTAAGTGATTGGGCAAAATCTTTATATAAAGCATTAACAGAATCCAGTAGGTTGAACCGTGAATGCTTGGTTACAGCAACTGTTACATTTCAACCATAATTGAATTTTAATTCTATAAGTAATCATAATAAGACAGCAGAAATGATTTGTTGTATACATGATCTTTCTTAAGGATGATAAAGATTTTGGTGAGTCAGACGCCCAGAATGGAGACTGTCCCGGAGTAGTTGAGGCCAATGAGAGGATTGGAGTTCATCTGTGGTTACGTTGCCGCTTGGCTCTGGTCCACAGCCTGGTTGCCCACAACCCTCGCACCATTGAGCTTTTACCAGGTCTGGTCACGTGTTTGCTGTCTTTTTTTTTTTTCAAAGTGGTGGATTGTACCACAACTTACTACATTACTATTACAGCCACTAAAAAAAGATCACAAACTCTTTCTCTTTCTCATTTTTCACATTATAATGTTATTATAATTATTAATATTCCTAATATTTTTATTATTACTATACTTTTTGTTAATTTACGATGTACGTGGCACCATCTTTTCAAGGTAAGAACATTAATGACGAAGCAGCCCGGGTGTTACAGGAGGGTTTCGATGAATGTGCACTGTGGGGAGACCTTGACATTCAAGCCCTGCTGTTGGTTGAAGGTGCCAGACTGGAAGCCCGGAGAGGCAAGACTGACAACAGCATGACAATGCTGCAGGTACCATTGCACACAAAGACAAACACATTTTTTTCATTCATTTTTGCAACAAAAGTAATGTGTTGAAAAAATCATTAACAGAGCAGGGGACCAGAGCATGCAGTGTACATGTCTGATGTGTTGAATTCCAAGGCCATGCAGTCCTTGATTTAACCTAGATTTATACATGACCTTTGAATAATTCGGATCAGTCTATACGTGATCCAAGTTTGAAGAATTCCCTCAAGACGTTCCAGAGATTCTTGTGTTCAGCAGAATGGGACAGAGCTCAGTTAGAGACCCCATTCTCTGGTTTCCTGAGACAGTGGCTGTTAGTCACTGTTTATAAATGCAGGTAAATATAAAAAAGCTAAGAAAAAAAGCTAAATGAGATTAGATTTAGGTAAATGCAGTCACTCTTTTGGTCTCAAACTAGAAATAAAACGTGGACACTCTTGAGTTGGTGGCTCACATGATCAAAAATCTTGTTTTGACGTCATGTATTGAGCCTGTATTTGTGATATAATTATCAGCATGGCTACACTGAACGTGCAGTGAATTAAAGTAATCACATTCTCGGCGTTCGCCGTTTGTCCCTGTGTGTAGAAAGCAGTGAGCCTGCTGTCAGGACGGACACGCTTGCCACAGAAGTCTGTCATTACGCTGGCTCAGGCCACTTTGCTGCTCAGTGACTTAAGAGGGGCACAGAGTATCACACCTCTACAGCTGATGCAGAAACTGCTGAAAAAGCAGGCAAGTGAAGACACAAACACTAACACACACATATGTGTACATCATATTATCGCTGTATATTCTGAAAGCAGACAAACATAACATCATAACATTAACATTTATCTTTTTCCCCCTCTTCTTTCAGCTGTGTGATTTTGGTGAAAGTGTGGAATTAGTTGATGGAAAAATGTGTTTCTTTCCTCCCGGACCAAGCAACATCTACCTCCCATACTTCAACATACTAAACCAGACCAGTTTGCAAATTGGTAAATTAGAAACCTTCTGTTTATCATGCAGCACAAAGTACAACTTGGCCTTATGAATGTCATGAGTTTTAACAGTATATATTTACAGACCAGACGACTGATAGGCAGACAGCAGCCCTGGTATTTAGAGCTATGCTGCAACAAACAAAAAAATAAAAATAAAAAGTTCATAGTTTGAAATTTAAAATTCATTTTCTCTGAAAATGGATTTCATGCAGAAGGTGTGGATCGTGAACCCCAGCTAGGATTTTACACTATACTCACTGAGGACATAGATGATGTTCTGTTTCCAAAATCTTCACCATTAATTGATCTGTTCACTGTTTTTTAATTCAGGGATTTATTATTCAGACATTTTACAAACATATTCTGTTGTTTAATGGCTTTACTGGGAGCCCCAGGTGATCTTTTTAAATTGCTATTACTAAGATATTTAATTTACTGTCATTATAAGGTTAGGAAGATCACTACTAATATTTAGTTAGTATCACTATCAACTAATAGTAATATTAAACGTTTAAAATACTACATTTTGGGTAATTTTTCTGTGAATAAATGTCTAAAAATGTCATTATTCTATCTTCTGCATCGCTTTCTGCAGGCAACATCATGGGTCAAAGTAAAATGGAGACACAGGTTTCTGCAAGCCAGTCATCATAGTCCACTTCAAGGCAGACTTTGACACTCTATCCAGAATGAGAGCGACTCGAGCAATTTCATCTCCAAGCAATCCAACCACCTCCAGTCCTAAATTACTTAAATGCATCTTTTGTGCATATTTAACGATAGAGATGGATGCTGAAGGCTTTTATTTTCCTGGAGACCTGGAGTCTTGTGGAAAAGTTTGTGTAGCAACACATTATTTTATCAACTTAGTTCATATGAGCCAAAATACTGTATAGTTTCGCATTTCTGGATATTTTAAGTCACTTTTAGTTAACGTCTAGAATAAAATGAAATGGTATGCATTAATTTAGCACCTTTTAATCTAAGGTACTGAAAGTTCTACAAAGCATTGAAATGCAAATGTTCATTTATCAAGTCACACACACCAAAAAGATCAGCCATGGGTTTGGTGTCTTGTCCAAGGACACTACTATGCGTGAAATTGCACAGGCTTGAACCACCAACCCTGCAAGCTACCCCACAGCTACACGGTGCTACCAGAACTCTGTGTAGTTTTTGTTGTTCTTCTTGTATGTTTATCTGCATCAGTAAATGGGTCAAATAAAATAAACACAAAAGAAAAGAGTAGTTTCAAACTGACGTATGAAATATGGGAGCCAGACAACTCTGAAAAGATGGACACAGATGTTAAGTGACGACTATTCGGTATGGCAATGCAATGATACAGATACTTAAAGTAAAAGTATTCATATTTTGATCAAGTGTGGGTAACAAGTGCTTTCTGTCAGAAAAGGAATCCTTAATCTCTGAATTGACTTTTCTTTTTTGTTTCACAACAGGGTTGCACCTTCACCTGGATATTCTTCTGCTATAATTACACACTCTTTTGATCTTTCATTTCATTTCAGCACACAAATAACATCAATGCAAACAAAGCATCAGGAGTATCAAAAATAGGGGTCACCAAACATTAATTCTGGCTTTTAAATAATTGTAACTAAAATTGTAACTAAAAGTTAGGAAGATTTTCATTTTTGTTTTCCTGTGAACATTTGTACACCATTCAGCCACAAGCTTTTGACCACAGACAGGAAAATAAAAACAGTGATTATCTTATTAAAATACATTGTTCCCCTGGGAAACCTTGGGTCTTCCCCTTACTGGATTTCGACGCTAAAGCCATCTTAAATACTGCACTCCCCTAATAAGGACAGCCTTTCCTGGTAGGACAACACCTCAGGGAACCTGACCCAAACGTGTCAATCGACAGGGCTTAAGGATCTTTGACAGATAAAGAAAGAAATCTTGAGAGGTGCCTTGATTGGTTTTGGCAGCTCCAGTTTTAAGATCGGTTATAAGGCCTAAACAGTTCTGAGGGTGTCTAAAAATAAAACTTAAATCAGCGAGGAAAGTAAAAATGACAGTGGCTTAGTGGTCATTAAAATGTGTTCAGAATTTTCAAATGAATGTTTTATCACATAAATCATTACTCTTCACTACAAAAGCTGCTTTTATAAGTTAAAATTGGTATTGGTATTGGCGAGACTGGCCCTATAATTACTTGGTCTCAGAGTCAGATCAACACAAAAAGCTACAGTTTTGCACACCATTAGTACTTGATCGGAACGCTTCATAACCGGAAGTCGTGTGCATTTTTATTGTGAAACGTTCAACCGGATGTTCCGAGTGTCTAATCTTGCTTCACACCGGTCTGCATGCCAGAGTAACGGTAGTCGTTTCCTCAGATCCCCCAATTGTCTGGGTTTGTTGACGTTTGCAGAAGTGCAGCAGTAGTTAGTAACGGGGCTCTGCCCCATGTTTAGACCAGCCGTGTGACAGTCAGCGAAGCTAGCCAGCTAGCTGGCTGGCTTAAATGGGTTTTCGAGTGAGAAGATGATCGCCTCACTCTCGAGAGGAAGTTTGATGGATGAGGTTCTTCACGGAGGCTTCAACGAGGTAACTTTACTCGGCGTTACTACTGCTAATGTTTATTACTTTGTGTTTGTTGTAAATTGTAAAGCGATTAAATTTCTTAAACGTCAGCCGGTAGGACACTGAAGTTAACCTTAGATTTTTTTTTTTTAAAAAAGCATCCTTTATTGTAGTTTGTGCAGCTCAGGTAATGTTGACGCCGTTTTTGCTAATTTCATATGACGGTTGTAAATGAAATAATTGGACAAATAACTGACGTAAGATGTAGTTTTATGCCTGACTTGGATGGCTACAATAACGTTTAACGAAACGGTTGACAGGAAGTGAGACTTGACTGCTACCAAACATCGCAATTAAACATCACAATTAGCGTGAAATGAGCATTTCTGGTTTGTGGAGATGGGTAGGTTCTTTGTGGCGTATCCCGGACAACGGGGTGTCACGTGACTGACCGATACCGGTAAGGATGTGGTAAACCCACGGAGTGTACGAGTGAACCGTGTGAAGTACAATGGGGGAGTATGGTGAACTCTGCACCTCTACTCTGAACGTGAAGGTACATGACTGACTTCACGGAGTAAAAGTAAAATCCATCGGGACAATAGGCGGACCCTGCCCCCTCTCCCCCTGACCCAGTGGCGTAAACAAAGGCACCCGTGTGTTATGCTGTTGTCGCAGGCTTCTTTGGCAGCCAGTCTAATGTGTGTGTCTGTGGTTTGTCGGATTTGTGCATCTGATTGATGGATTGCAGCAGCAGCTGGCAGCATATGTTTCCTGGGTGAACTCTCAGCTGAAGAGGAAACCAGGCTTGAAGCTCATCGCAGACCTCAGGCATGATCTGCAGGATGGGGTTGTGCTCACACAGCTAATCGAGATAGTTGGTAAATACAATCCTGCACACTGACACACAAACAAATGGATGACATGATGAAAGAACAATAGAGGGAAAAAACAAAATAAACCACTAATAAGATGTTGTTTAATTTAGGGTTGAACACAGTCTGTGCTCAACACCTGTTTGTCTTTTTTAACACTTGTTCTTTACATGGCCGTTAATGTTGTTTCGTATTCTCTTTGGGAGCTGGGGAGGTGCTGGAGGGAGTGTATGCTGCTCCACAAAACAAAGAGGAGAGCAGGAAGAATGTGGAGGAAGTCTTGCGCTTCATTTCCTCCAGGCACATACGCATGCCTCACATATCCGCAAGAGGTAAACTTACAGAAAAATATGTATTTCCACTTTTTTTTTCTTTTCTTTATTTCAAGAGTATATGTTCCTAAACTTTCTGTGGCTCATTATTCACTGTTGTAGCCAGGAAGTGTTATCAAAATTAGAACTTAAAGTCCATAAAACACTTGTATCAAATATATGTATTTGTCTATAAGTGTAAATAGTGTCTAAAAGTGCAGGGAAACTCTTAACATGTGCTTCTTTTCTTTTTGCAGACATTGTCGATGGTAATCTGAAATCCGTAATGAGGGTAATTCTGGCATTGGCGGCCCATTTCAAACCCACAGCCAATCACAGGAATGCTTCTGGGAGCGGGAGGAGGTTGACGAGAGGCCATGCCAGTCACAACCCTCTGTCTACTGTTGCTCTAGCTCAGGGTGCCGCTGCTACTCTGGCATCAGCTCGACACGATGCCTCACTGCCCACACATACCGCACGCCTCCACAGGTATGCTGGCCACATGTTGTAAATATAATCATGGGTGTAAACTCTTATCCCCATAGATTTCTGTTTAGAATCATGCAGAGGCTGCTTTCCTGTCATTTGCTTTGATGTAGTTCGGACAAATGTAAAGTTTTTGTCGTAAAATTCCTCTGTCCACTTATTTTAATTTGCACCTGAAAGTGGTTACTCTTTTCATACAAGTCAATCAAATGGGCCTACAGATCTAACAGACTAAAGTTAGCCGGCTTTGTAGAAAACACCTCAGCATCTGCAGGGGGCACTGTGAGATGAATCGTGACCTGCTGCCGAGTGAATTTAACTGTGGATTCAGTTGACAGCGTCACTATGAGCACACAGTTATTAGTTCAGAGGACTTTCACTCACTTTTATAAAACCAACACCATGGAACTGTCACATTCTTAACTAGTAATTTTTAACCCCACAAAGCCAGTTTTTTAATGATCATACAGTTGTATGATTGAGTTGTTTAATAATTAATGCACTGCCAGATGTGCAGTGCCTGAAAGCTGTGTTCCAGAAATAATTAAAGATATTTATTGTCAAACTATTTAGCAGCTCTACGTTTTTTAGATTTGAGTGCATTAGAAATCAATTGTGTGTCTTTGTGGAAACTAGCAAATGCATATTTTGAAAGAGTTGTATTTCAGCACATATGGCTTAATCATTGATGTGTATTTGATAAAAGTAAAGCTGCCAATCATATGTTTTTGTATTTGCACAAGACTTCTTATGTCTTGAAGCTCAAAAAGCTCATTGGTATAAACGGGGCTGTAGCATACAGTCAGGTATGTTATTATTGTTTGCCTGTTTATGAAGTCTGTTGATTTATTTGTGCATTATTCTTGTCTTAGTTTGTCAGAACTGCAAGAAATTATTCATATTCTAATTAAGTAACTAAGAATCTGGTATTTGAGCTCCTATTCTTTATCTGTGGAGGAAGCAAATAATTAAAGCTTCCTTTTAGTCACATTTCAGCTGAACCTGTGCTTTCTATAGCAGATTTCAGCTGTGTCATTAGCCCTAAAAGGGCTGATTCTTAGCTTTAAATGGCACCAGAGATGGTCTTTGCTGTCCTCTGGTGGACAAACACAGATCGTCACGTTTCCATCCTCACAAACGCTATAAAGTAAAGAATGTCTCTGTGTGCAAGTTGAAAAGCTATTCGGTTGTCTTTCAGTGGCTGTGGATTGGATGGGGAGAAGAGTGTGTGTGTCCGTGCACTGGTTGAACAGTATGAAAGAGGAGCCCCAGATGAACAGGATAACCCTCAGCATAGCAGGTAATTCTGCACAAGCCTGTGTTTGTCATTGCTGTTATAGTCATGCTGGGCAAAAATTAATTTAGTGGTCTGAAATTATATTACTAGAAAGCTGTCATATTGCCATGTTTACATAACTCGATGCATATAAAGAGGCTTGGCTTTGCTGGCTGAAAGTCATCAAGAGGTTTATTAACCACCACTATACAAGGTAACAGAGCTTTATTTCTAATTCATTTTATTTGTAGAAATATAGTTTGTTATATTATCAGGATGAAGCCTCTTACAATTAAATGTTAGAATTATACTATGAGTACTTTGGAGAGGTTCAGCTCAAACCCTAGAGATCACATGAGATTCCTTCTTTCTTTCCACAATTTTTTCCTTTAACAATATACTCAGAAATACTCAGTCCACCTATCTGTGCATATAGAACATTATAGTATTATAGCTGATATCTAGAAGCTTTAATACTATAAACATCAAACTACAATGAAAGCCCGCTCAGAGATGTTTACACTGACACTCCCTGTTTTTAATATTATGAGACATGTGCACCCAGACTGGCCTAAATTGTTTGTGTCAACAATGCCCCTGACCTTTATCAGAGACCCCCTTCTGTCTATTAGTTTTATTTGACAGAGTGGTGTAATTAAATGTTGTTTTTAAAAGTATTTTTACATTAGAGAGGGCCTTTTAGCTGCTAACTTATTTAGGGTTGTTACAGTGATGGATTCACAATTTGATTTTACGCTGAATGCTCTTTCACTCTTTTATTCAGACTTGGGATCATCACTAGGAGTAGACTAGCTTGTGAGCCTCTGAGGCTGGGTGTGTGGATTTTCAAGGGATCAGTAACTTGAAAGTAACATTTGAAGATCAGCAAATCTTTCCAATAAAACGCAGACAACAAACTATTAGCTATATAGTTAGGTAGCTATGCACTACAGGCTTGACTTAAAACACACTACTTTTCCAAGTTTTCT